ATGGCTAAGCCAAGAAAGAAGCAGGTGGCAAGCACAGCCGTTGACTTTCAACGGACCACAGGGCGTTATATATCACAAGATAGAACTCTTCATAACCACAGCTATGAGAACCTCGAATCGAAAGAATTTGTTGCGATATCGAAGAATGCTTGCTACCTTCACTCATAAGATGCCCTGTTACGTGATAATCGTACCATAGCACCCGCCATCTTGATATCTGAGATTCTCACAGCTGGGAATATGAAGATAACTGTCCTCCGGGATGTGGAATCGTGTAGTCTTGTAGTTACCAGACATCTAGCAAACAAAACAGCATCAGTTCCCGGAAGATCCGAGATTTTCACAATGGCCACATCAAGAAGAGGTCTATCTTCTGCGATATGACGCTGAAAGACAATTTATTAAAGGACTTTCAGCAGAATTCTTCTTCTTTTCTAGCGCTTTAACCCTGTGTATGTCTTGCTATCCTCCATAGGGTCTTGAGGCTTCGTAACAATAGACTTTCGGAGGTTAGGTCGTTAGCCCAACGCCCAACCCCCAACATGGAGGAACAGGAATTACACTTCGTCTGGCTCCTACCCTTTGACCGGTATGGCTCTACCAGGACCTTGCACTTCCGCCAGCATAACTCTCCGGGGCCATACTTCAGAACGCAGAACTCTCATAATCAAGAATTCGACAACTTCAAATTCTATAGGATGATTCTAAATTATTGTCGGTGTTTCCGTTTATAGGACACGGAAACCCAGACAACAATTTAGAATCAACTTATTCATTTGAGCGTCACAACACAACAATAAAAGAACTTCAATGACAATGCCCAGATATAGTTCTGCTACATGTTTCGGCCACTAGTGGCCATCATCAGGCAAACATACTTCAACAAACGTACACCACTGAACTGCAAAAATTTGATATGTCATAAATCATTTAAGATATTTTGCAGTAAGAATACAATAAGTAAGTTGTATTTGTATATATTGTAACACAGCAGGATGCATGAAATGAAAATTATAATTCAGAATCACCCTGTACATGTGAAAATATTAGTTGTGGGCTTCTGGGTTATGATACGCTATATCCTCATAGGTATAAACGTTTCGGAGGAACCCACTGTCTCCATCTTCAGAGTAGAAGGAGGGGCCCTAAGACGGTGGCATTTGGTTCCTCTGAAACGTCATAACTGAGATCACAACCGAAATACCCGTCGACCTGGTTCGTTTTTTTCTAACTATCGTTAAGTGGTTTACCTCGGGGAGGCTGTCCCTCTGGGCCGGTGATGAAGCAGCTGTCTTCACTGCTACTGTAGCCCGCCGACCCAAAGCTACTCCCAGAGTGTCGAAACACGTCGGGGACCGCAGGGGGCGCCACCTTTTTGACCTGCGGCACGGGTTTGGGCGGCCGACTCATCCCACCCACTGAAACAGACAATAGCGGTTTCAACATTGTCACCTGACTCGTGATATTACTGAAAACACACATTGAAAAGGTGTGTGGTGTCACAGTGGGGAGTGGTAAGTCGTTGTGGACACTGGAACCCCCCTCCCCCAACAATGATTCTGCTCTGATAATATACATCAGTCTTTGTGTAAGTACGTTCAAATGTATCAGCCACGAAATTTGCATGAGGATGACTCCTTCAATTCTACACAGGTTAAACCTGGTTATGATAGTATCATAAACAAAGGAAAGAACAAGTGGCCAGCCTGACAACTATCATAGTGACTGATGGTTGGGAGCAAACCGGTAAGTCTACTTCGCAGGATGCCTGGGATACGTTCCTTTGACGAGGAGATAATTCTCTGTGCCGTTTAATTTCACCTCAAGTGTCTCACGCTCTCTGACGCTTGAACGAAATGACGAGACTGTGTGGTACTCGACAGCGAAAGCTTGGGTGACAAACATGTTAATTTGTGAGTTTTCTTTGTGGCACTGATACAGTATATCATTTAAGGATAAATTTGTTCGTAGTTGTGAATAGTTCCATCTTTGGGACATAACGCCGTGTTCTCTTTGGTACCTGCTTCATTCTGGTTCATTGCTTGATTCATTTTTCAACCCTGCAGATGGAAGTGAAATGTTCCTCAAAAATGTCAGCTGATTTTCAACTTTTTTTTATTGCTAGTGGGGTGGGATTAAGTCCCTTGTACTGCGGCCACTTGTGGCCTATTGTACCAGTCCCAGATGATGAGGGTGATTGTGGAGCAATTGGTGGAATGAAGATTGGCAGGGGAAACCGAAGTACTCTGAGAAAACCTGCCCCAGCGCCACTTTGTCCACCACAAATCCCACTTGATCAGACCCGGGATTGAACCCAGGCCGCCGCGGTGGGAAGCCAGCGACTTGAGCTATGGTGCGGCCTAAATTCTGAACTTAGTCCATCGCCATATATTCAGAGGACACAGCTTATCATACGCAGGGGTGTACATACCCCTGACCTAAGTGGATGTCGATCCCGAAAAAATTAGGGAGCAAAGATCTTTAAAGTCCGCGCATCTGACTTTCTTATGTCTTCATTTATTTAGTAATGCGAAGAGACTTGTTTGAAATGGAACAGTTGAGCGGGGGCACCGCTGCTCTTCTGTCCGTACGTTGCCAGAACATAACTGCCACCTCCTATCGAGACAAAAGTCTCGGAGCTTGGAATGCCGTGGGTTGCCATGTGTATGCAAATGGGAGGTGCAAGTTAATTGTTTACCTTCAGACCGTGTCCTCAGGTCTAATAGCGTCCTACAAGTCACTGCCCCTAACACAACCCCTCTTTTCATGGACCAGAATATACCATTTACAATACAGTTAAAACATTTAGCAGTTATAAACAAATCTAACGATTACTTCAGAAAATACAGGAAGTTAAAGACAATGTCATTTGTGCAGCTTTCCGTTTCTATATTTCTTGTTCTTACTACAATTGGCGACTGAGGAATGAATCACACAAAACTGTGGCTTGGAAGGAAGCAAGGAAACGTGAAATATACAGTGTCGCCAAAAGTAGCACTATGGACCGTTGGCTTGGAGTGAACGCGAAATGTTTTGTTAGAGCAAAAAGTGACTGAGCTGCACATTCCAGCGGAAGCTGCTATGCTGCTGCTTCAGAGGTGACTGACTCTTCATCACAATTAATGTTTTTTTTTATTTCGGTTTATCAATCTTCCGGCTCGTAACCAGTCAAAATACTGACTTCAGCTATTCGGTCTCATTGCTGACTGGGTTTATTATTATTATTATTATTATTATTAGAGGGAGTGGGTTTCCCCATGCACTTAGACCAGTTATTGGTCCATTGTGCGTCCCCCTTTAATTTCTACTATCGCCATACGCTACCGGTACTGGTGCGTGCTATCAGCTCCCTTCAGCCAACGAGGTCGGCCGTCGGTACCTGATATTTCCCCCATCTACCAGAGGCATTGGAAACTACTTGGGCGGGAAATTGTTGCCTAATTTTGCTCAGAGGTCGCTGACTGGGTTACTCTGGATCTAAGTATTTTGAAAACCAGGTGATAGGTGCCCAGAATTACTGTGTTTTTGGACTTTGTCCATAGTCCGGTGTTCTAGAAACTAGAAAAAACGTTTCGGGAACTGAATCTGTTTCCTAAATGTTATGTTTTCTAGTTTCTAGAATACCGGACTATGGACAAAGTCCCAAAACACAGTAATTATGAATATTGCACACCATCGTCAGACCCCTTTTTAGAGTCCACGTGATAAGTGATTCACAAATTTGGTCTTGTTATGCACAGTGTATGACAGGCATGGTATTATGATAACAAAACACTGCGTTGTTACGAACGAGCACGTTTCGCGGGGTTGTCATGTGTGCCACAACGTGGCTGAACGTGGCTGTTACAGTAAGCAATAGAAAGCAGCTGGCCGCATTGACTATCCGGCGCCTATAAGAACAGAACGGAATAACTTATCCGATAAGATTTTATACGAACAAAATATGTGGATGGAGAAACATCAGGAACACAGTTAAAAAGACACTAACATGGCCATACGTTTTTTTTCTGTCTAAAGTCCGCTTTTCACCTTCTAAAATCATCAAGGCCCCTCTGTTCTCCAGAAAATCTGGTGTTTTTATAACGTCATATAAAAATATTTGTAATAACTGTTATTCAAGTATGATTAATGTAAGTTCTATACAATTCAGTACACGATATTTGGGTTTAAAAACAAGAAAATATAAAAAAATGTAGCTATTAAATGCGTAAAGATATATTATTATTAATACAATCATATTAACATTACTTAAACTATTTTAAAATAATGAAAATAGGACAAAAACAAATATACGCCGCCATTTCCTTGAAACAGCTCCTCAGTTATCCTCACGAGGCTGAGTGAACCTCGTTCCAGACCCACTGCTTCTCAGAAAATCTGGTAGGGCCGGGAATCGAACCCCGACCTCTGGATCTGTAGGCAGGAACTCTGACCACTAGACCACAGAGGCGGTCATTTACTGCGTGAAAACGAAGTGTAAAACTTATTAAAGCCCGTTTCTGACTGGAACTCTTATATCAACAGGTTTTAAAACCGAAGGTCAAGTAATATTCATGTAATCTGTAATTTTTGTAGAAGACCAGGACGAAACAGCTCTTGGCTTCCACGCGAGACTATTTTTTTTACTGCTAGTGGGGTGGGACTAAGTACCTCAGCCTCTAACAGAAATGACTACCAGGAATTAATTAAATAATTTTCCTGGGGAGTAAAGCGAGGCCGGCTGACAACCTCACCGCCATCTTTGAGTCGATTGTCTAGATAATGTGGGATCCTCGACGTCTCACAACCTTATAGGCCTCCACGGACTGTTACAGGGATAGCTTTACTTTTTACTTACTTTACTACAAAAATGCAATATGTTAACAAAATGAAGAGACTTCTAGCTCAGAAATAGTAACTGGAAACCCTTATCTTTTCGTACATCAATTCTGCGAACATGTCTTGAGATGAAACATCGCTTGAAACTAAATTATATTAATATCTTATGATCTATTATTATAAAATTATTGATAACGATAATGAGAATTATGACGCCGATAATGTGTGAAATATTACTTATAATTTCGAAAATAAACTCACAGCCCTACATAACCTAAACGCTTGAACAATAAAATATCGAATCGTTTCACTGCTACCAACATAACTGAAGTTATTTGATATATTATATATTTTTATATAGCTGCCAATGTTAACTTACCAATAAATACAGATAATTAACAATATATCGTCAGATAATATTTTAAATTATGTAATATTTCCGAAGAAGCACTTACATATCGTAACGCCTCCAAGTTCAGCATCTCTGATCAGAGAACAACACACAACTCACCACGGAATGAAAGTTACTACGCTGACGTCATGAAGTTCAGCGCGTATCCTTCGATCTCATGAGAGAGAAGTGGAAACGCATAAAATACAGAGCGAATTGAGTAAAAATGTAACTAGATACCACAATTACAAAACACATTAAACTTCCATTATGTAAACACTGCTATTCACACTCGCTCGCGACCCATACATTCTGCAGTTATGGCTCGTGTTACTCAGCAAAGGGTGTCCATCTCAAAATCCGCTCTATGCCAAAACTACAAATATTACAAAATCTCGAACACGTTTTAGGGTTTGCAATTGGGAACACTTTTAACACCAACGACAGTGTAAAATTACTATGACGAATTTTCGCATGTCGGTTAATCCCAATGAAGTTTTCCATCATGCAGTAAATTTCAAGACTAGGCAAAGTGAGCGGTAGGGCCGGATTTACAGTCGTGGGGGCCCCAAGGCAACCAGAATGTGGGGGCCCTTTGCAGTAACAACAAATTTACCTCATGATTTTTGAGAAGCGATGCATCAGTAGAATCTGTGATCCTAATTCAGTTTTGTGGAGCCCCTGCGTTGACCGAGGAAAGGTCTTTTGGGTTGAACGCCAAGCAGAAGAGAATCCGACATTTCGGAGGAACATATCGCCTACATCTTCAGGGTCAACTTCTGCTGGTATCTTGGTTCTTAGACCCTGAAGATGAAAGCGACATTTTTCCGAAACGTCGGATGACCTTCAACGGACACCCATGCGAGTACCTCGAATCCTAAAGACGTTATCCCGTCCGAGATTCGAAGCCAACATCTCCGAATAGGGGTCTTTTGCATTATTGCTATGCTATATTGGGTTCGAATCCGATACAAGGCATGGATGTTTACTGTTTGTGTCTGTCTTTTCCTGTGTTTGTACATAGGTAGAGAGGCCTTGCGACGAGCTGTTCACTAGCCCAAGTAGTCCTACCGAATGTATAAGATCTAGTAAATCGAAGTGAAACGGAGAGTTTCATGGACGTAGGCCAAAGCCTAAATTGGGGCTGTAGCGCCAAAGGGAAAACTACTTGGTACTATTCTGTCCAGAACCTTTTGTCTTCTCGTCTGA